CAGCAGCACGCCCGTGAGCAGCAGGGCGGACTCTAGCACCACCACCGTGAGCCGCACTACGGACCCCCGCAGCACGTCCGTGAGCAGCACGACGGATTCCAGCAGTACAACCGTGAGCAGCAGGACGGACTCCAGCGTCAGCATCGCAAACACAATGACGGATTCCATCAGCACCATCGCGAGCAGCAGGACGGACTTCAGCAGCACGACCGTGAGCAGCACGACGGATTCCGGCAGCACGACCATGCTCCAGCAGCACCATCGTGAGCCGCACGACGGACCCCGGCAGCGCGTCCGTGAGCAGCAGGACAGACTCCAGCAACAGCATCACATGCAGCAGCGACGGACTCCAGCAGCAGCAGCGTCGGGAGTAGCACGACGGACTCCCGCAGCACGATCGTGAGAAGCACGACGGATATCAGCAGCAAGATTCTGAGCAGCACGACGGACTCTAGCAGCACGACCGTCAGCAGCATGATGGACTTCAGCAGCGACATCGTGATCAACACGACGGACTTTAGCAGCACGATCGCGAGCAGCGTGACAGACGTCAGCAGCACCATCGTGAGCAGCACGACGGGCCTTAGCAGCTCCATCGCGAGCAGCACGTCGGACTTCGGCAGCACGGCGTTGGGCAGCATGGCGTGCCCAAGCGGCTTGTGAGCAGAACGACAGATTCCAACAGCAGGACGGTGAACAGCATGACGGACTCCAGCAGCACGGCTGTGAGCAGCAGGACGGGCCTTAGCAGCTCCATCGCGAGCAGCACGTCGGACTTCGGCAGCACGGCGTTGGGCAGCATGGCGTGCCCAAGCGGCTCGTGAGCAGAACGACAGATTCCAACAGCAGGACGGTGAACAGCATGACGGACTCCAGCAGCACGGCTGTGAGCAGCAGGACGGGCCTTAGCAGCTCCATCGCGAGCAGCACGGTGGACTTCAGCAGCACCATCGTGAGCGGCACGACGGACTTCAGCAGCACGACTGGGATCAGCATGACGGACTCCAGCAGCATCAGCAGCAGCAGCAGCAGCAGCAGCATCGTGAGCATCACGAAGGACTCCAGCAGCACGACCGTGAGCAGCAGGACCGTCTCCAGCTGCACCATCGTGAGCAGCACGACGGGCCCCAGCAGCTCGTCCGTGAGCAGCACGACGGATTCCAGCAGCGAAATCGTCAGCAGCATGACGGACTCCAGCAGCAGCACGGGGAGCAGCGCGACCGCTCCCAGCGCTGTGCGCATACCTTGCAGGACACTTCCGATTATGACAGGGGCTCCTGCCCCCGAAGGTGGGCTCCCTCTGGGATGCAGGTTCTTGCACTCTCCTGACGCGCGGGCTTGGCGCCTGCTGCTCCCAAAGGTGGACGCACCCGCTTCTCGAGCACAAGACCTTGCACCGATCAGGTGCTCCTGGGAAGCATGCTGGCCCCCAAGGTGATTCGCCCCCCTTGCCTTTCTCGCTCCCCGTCTTGCCGGGCGCGTCCTCCACCTAAGGAGGATGCTCCCGTCTGTTTCGCAAGTCTTTGTGCCGATCAGGTGCTCCTGGCATGCGGGCTGCCCCCCATTGTAGCACGTCTCCTTTCCTTCCTCGCCATCTGCCCTGCCTGGCGTGCCCACTCCCCAAGGGGGGCGCTGCCCTATCCTTCATACAGTCGACACGCAGAGTAAGCCATAGGCATCCCTCCCAAGGATAATTACCCTTGCATCCTTGCTTCCTGGGTCCATCCTTGGACGCTTTCGTTGGCCGCGCCCCGCTCGACGCGCTTCGAGGTGGGCGCCCAGGGGCCCTGCATCCTCATATCGCGCACCCTTGCTCTGCGGGTTGGCTGTGTGTGTCCCCTGCGCCGCTCGGGTGCCCTTGTCGAGCGCGCTGCCCACCCCCAGGGCGGCACGCCCTCACTTCCCGCGCCCTGCCCCGGGCGTCGGCCCCCCCCCCCCTGGTGGGCGCACGCCCTGCTCCTGCTCCCCCCCCCCCCGCGCGGGCCCGCCGCGCCTGCGCCCCCTCCCCCGTGGGCCCCCCTCCCCCTCCTCCTCCAGCTCCTCCTCCTCCTCCCCCTCCTCCTCTTCCCTCCTCCTCCTCCTCCTCCTCCTCCTCTCCTCCTCCTCCTCCTCCTCCTCCTCCTCCTCCTCTCCTCCTCCTCCTCCTCCCCCCCTCCAGCCGCGCCACCTCCTGCCCCCCCCCCCCCCGCGCGGCCCGCCGCGCCTGCGCCCCCTCCCCCGCGGTGGCCCCTGCGGGTGCGGGCGGCCCCGCGGGGCGGCGTGCCGGGCGGGCCCGCCTGGCCCGCTGCGGGCCGCCGCCGCCCGCCCAGCTGCCTCTGCGGGGGGGGCCGCCCTGCCTCCCTGACTCCGGATCCGCCCTACTTCGGCTTTTTTTCCAACTTAAAATTGCGGCGGAAATCCACCTATAAGAGGCCGAAAAAAAGTAGGGCGGAAATTGCTGCACCCAACATAAAATAGGGCGGAAATCCACAGAAACAGCAACAGAAAAGTAGGGCGGAAATTGGCATCAGCGGGGCTTGAAAAGTAAGGCGGAAATTCCAAGCCCCACTTACGAATTTCCCCAAAGTAGGGCGGATCCGGAGTCAGGGCTGGCCCTAAGTCGGGCCTGCCCCTCTGCAGGGGAATGGTCGAAAAAAATAGTCCGGGGACTATGTTCGGATTATTTTTGTGAGCATTTTGAGGGCATTTCTGGTGTTTTTTGTTGTTTTTCCGTCCACAACCCCCCTGTAGGGGGGGGGGGGGGGGGGCAAAACCCGACTCAAGCCTGGCCCTCCCCGTGGTGGGGCGCCGCCGCTCCTCCCGGCTGTGGTGCGTGCGCCGGCCGGGCCCCCCGCGGGCCCCCCGCCGCTCTCTCCCGCGCCGCGCCGCCGCCGGGGCCGCCGCGCCGGGGGTCCCAGCCGGCGGCGTCCCCGCCCCTGCTGCAGCAGCCTCCCCAGACCCCCTCGAGCTATGAAAAAATCACGACGAGAGGTTTTTCGCCATTTTTGGCCTTTCTGGGGGCCCTCACCGGGCCTCGGGAGCGTCAAAAAACGACTCGGGACGACAAACCGGTCCCCGGGAAGGGGTCGAGGCCTCGGGGGGCCGACGTCATGAAAAAATCATGACGTCGGGGGTCTGGGTCCACCGTGTGCAGCATCACGGGGGGCCTTCGGCAGCATTCCAGACCCCCGACGTCATGATTTTTTCATGACGTCGACCCCCCGAGGTCTCGACCCATTCCCCGGGACCGGTTTTTCGTCCTGAGTCGTTTTTTGACGGTCCCGAGGGCCGGTGAGGGCCCCCGAAGGCCAAAAATGGCGAAAAACCTCCCGTCGTGATTTTTTCATAACTCGAGGGGGTCTGGGTGTGCAGCATCACGGGGGCCTTCGGCAGCATTTAATGCGGCAGCCCGCGCGCCCTGGCGCAGCTCCCCGCGGCCTCCTCCTGCGGGCCTGCGGGCCGGCTGCCGGCGTCCACCAGTGGTGGGCGCCGACCCTCTGCAGCAGCGTCTGGCGCGCTCGGCACCGTGGTGGACCCTCGGGTGCTCCCGTGCCCCCGCCCCTGCCGCCGCGTGTCTTCTTCGCTCCCTCCTCGACGTACCCACAGACCCCCTCGAGCTGTGAAACAATCACGACGGGAGGTTTTCCATTATTTTTGGCCTTTGGGGCCCTTACCAGCCCTCGGGACCGTCAAAAAACGACTCGGGACGACAAACCGGCCCCAGGGAATGGGTCGAGACCTCGGGGGGTCGACGTCATGAAAAAATCATGACGTCGGGGGTTTGGGGGGGGGGGGCCGCCCTGCCTGGCCCTCAGTCGGGCCTGCCCCTCTGCAGGGGGAGCGGTCGAAAAAAATAGCCCGGGGGCCATGTTCGGACTATTCCTGTGAGCATTTTGGGGGGCATTTTTGGGTGTATTTTTTTGCTTTTTCCTCCACCATCCATCCCCCTGTAGGGGGGCAGCTCACCTTGCTCACCACGGCTCTGCGCCTGCAGCCACGGCCGCGGAGTTCCTGGGCGTGGTCGCTGATGCCGTCCCGCGCCCGCTGCCAGGTCGCCTCCGCCTCGGGCTGCCGCCCCCCGCGCGCTCCTCCTGCAGGTCTCTCCGCGGCCAGTGCCCCCCTTCCTCCTGCTCTGTGCGGCCTCCCTTCGCTGCCTGTCCTACTCTCCCAGACCCCCTCGAGTTATGAAAAAATCACGACGGGAGGTTTTCCATTATTTTTGGCCTTTGGGGCCCTTACCGGCCCTCGGGACCGTCAAAAAACGACTCAGGACGAAAAACCGGTCCCGGGGAATGGGTCGAGACCTCGGGGGGTCGACGTCATGAAAAAATCATGACGTCGGGGGTCTGGGCTTGCCGTCGGTCAATTAGTCTGCCGTGCGCCACCAGAAGCTTGAGCGCGCGAGCAGATTGCCCCTGCCCCCGCCGCGATGGAGAGCCTGTGGTATGCCAAAGACTGCACCGGCGCTTCGCGCCACGCACCGTGGTCCTTCAAGTCTGGCATGCAAGCGAAGGGGCAGGAAGGACAACAAGTAAAGGTCGCGGTAACCGTTTGCTTGTTTGTTCGATGGTTTGTTTGTTTGTGCGATATGGTCGTTCTAATAGTGATATCCCGCAGTTTTCTCTCATGCTTCCTTTTCCCTCTTCCTCATTCTCGCCCACCGCTGCAAATTATTTCCCATCCTCCTCAGCTCTTTTGGCGGAGGTTCCTCCTCGGAATGCCTTTGGGGGGGGCGCATGCACGTCTTCATGGGCCTCTTGGAGGCTTCCTGGGCGTCTTCTGGTGGTTTTCTTTGGCCACCGTGCTTCCAACCGCGATCTTCCTGAAAGACCATGTCACCATTTGGAGCGCCTCGGGGGCGTCTTGGGGCCATCTTGGGCCGTCACGGGATTGTTCGGGCCATCATGGGGTCTTGCTGGGCCATCTTCTGGGCTCCGTCGGGTGTCTGCAGGTACTTTCAGTAGTTTGGGGAAGATAAGGCTTGCGAGGCCTCTCACACTGTCTCGGGGGTCTGGAAGACCGAAGAATTGAGCACCCCAATCCGTAGCCATTTTGGCTCAAGTATATCGGAATCAGATCAATCAATCGAAATCGTAAAGATCTCATCCAGTCCAGCCCACGCTTTTCGCTTATGAACGTGCGTCTGTTGTTGATTCTGTATTGGATCGGTTGGATAGCAGTCGTCGTGGTTATTGACCCACGGGCCTTTGTACATGGATCCATGGTGTTGCACGCTGCATCGGCAGCACAGTCTCCTGAATATCACTCTTCGCAGCCAGCGCCGTCACAGTCGCTTCTGGAACAGACAACGACTCCACGATCCTATTCACAGCCAGCCTTGCCAAAGCCGACTCATGAGCAGACTACGACTCAGCAAGCCAGCGGCCAGTCGCATACTTTCCAGCAGCTCACCGAAGCAGGCAAGAGTGGCCCTGTTGTTGGTGGCCCCGTGGAGCTGCACGAGGTAGCCCAGCAAATCGTGAAATCTGGCTGGCAGCTGCTGAACTTGTCTGCCCAAGCTGTTCAACTTGTGCTGAATGCAGTCCCCATTGATCTTGAACGGCAGCCAGAGCCGCGTGCAAGAGTGTATTCCTTAGGCTCCTCGGAAGGCAGGCTACACTTACCGCCCGTCGAGTATAGCTTGATCGTCAATATGCATAACCGGTATAAAAGGCTTGTGACTGTCCTGGCTTCTTATTTGATCACCGCGAGAGGGTCTTACGAACTACTTGCATTTTGCGATGGCTGCAACGCGAAAACTTTGCAACGAGCCGAGGAAACCTTCGATACTTACCTGCCGATTGTCTGGAACGGGAGCGCCACGGCGTGCAGCCCGGAATTTCTCAAGAAGGTCGCCGGGCACGTGAAGCGTGGGAAGTCGGACCAGCGCTTTTGGAAGCCTGTACGCGAGATGTGTTTCGCCACTTGCGGCGACTCATTCTTTCGCCGGTGCGGATCACTGCGGCGGGTGGTGCTGGTCGATCAGCCGTCCGCGATATTCGAGACTGCTTCAAACAACAGAGGTGCAGTCTTGGCCGAGGGACAGTTCCTAATCATCATGCAAGACGACTGGGTAATGACCCAGATCGGATGGAATGTCCACATGTCGCTTCCCGCGCGCCTATATGACGACGTCTTCGGCATATCCGGCAACTGCGCGCACGGATGGCATGATCTTCCGAGCACCAGTGTGGGCCGGTGTGCGGATTTGGAGAGGGCTCGACCGCTCGATCCAAGATTGGTGAACAAGTCGGGCACCTTCTTCGTGCGGCCGACGGGGAACAGGGGCCCTCTCCTGTACAACGCCAGCAAGTTCAGGCAGATGGGTTATCTGAATGAGCTGCACTTCCTAATGGATAAAGATGAGCACACGCTTCACGCCTTGGCTGTGCGGTCGCAAGGCTGGGTCTCGGGTTATGTGCCCTTGCAGATGATAGTCCTCGGGGAGGCGGGGCGCTTGGACTCGGACAGTGTCGACTTCCACCAGGACAATGGGTTCAAGACAAGGGAGGCGGAGAAGGAGTACAAGCAGTGGAGAAAAGATCGGGGGAAAACAGCGAAGTTTCGGCAGCCTGCGAAGGGCTCGCGTGGGATGCCTACCGACCTCGGGGGAGAGCGGAATCTCAGTATTGGTTGGTTCTCTTTTGATAGTTGCGCCACATAGCAGAAAACAAGCTTCCGTGAGTTGCTTCCTCTTGAGGCAAAGTTCGCATTGCTAGAGCGCGTTTCTGTTTTATTTGGGGCATGACGGGCGTCATGGCCCCCGGCCCCACCCCCCTGTTGCGCAACGCTCCACCCCGAAAACGGGATTGGGGCACTGGCTCGTTGGAGGTGCTGAATTGCTGCTGATTTTCCAACGTGTCAGATGTTACACACATGAGCTACTTTTGTCACAGTGCTTATCCTGAGCAACGTTCGTGCAGGCTTCTGCTGCTGCTTTGTGTAGCGGATGGCGAGAAACCTGTCGGCTCTAGAGGTTTGCTGAGGTCCCTTGACCGGCTCATGAAACAAAATAATAATAATAATAATAATAATAATAATCATAATCATAATAACAATAATAATAATAGTAATAATAATAATAGTAATAATAATAATAATAATAATAATAATAATTGGGCACCCCAACATCTTCCGAACACCATGCGGGAAAACATATGTCTCGCTTGTGGCTTGTGGACGGCCTCTTGGGGGTGTTCTGCGGGCCGTCTTCGGGCGTCTGAGGGGTATCCGGGGCCGCTTGGGGCCCTCGCAGGGCCGGTTTGGCCACCCTCCTGACCGCCCTGGGCCCGCTGGCCCGGTCCAGCAGGGACGTGCAGAGGCCGCGAAGCCACGGGGGGCCCTTTGCAAGGGCGCCCAGGCGGTCCATGAGGACCGAGGTTCTGGAGGGTCCGGCTTGGCTTGGATCTTCGGAGTTTCGTTTTGGGTTTTCTTTGGGGTCGTAGCTTTTCTGAGGTCCTCCTGGAACCACTCTGAGCTGAAGCCTTGGGAGAAGCATTCAGAGCACAAGGACATATCTATGCCGATCTTGACGGTCAGGTGGTCCTCTTAGGGGCGTCCGGGGCAGCCTCGGATGACTCTTGTGACCTTCTCGGAGTCTCATTGGGGTATATTTGAGCCGCTTTGGGCCACCCTGAAGCGCTCTTGTGCCATCCTGGGGCCATCTTGGGACTCTCTGGAGCCGTCTGAAGGCCAGTAGAAGCTTATTGGTCGTTGCGCCCGACGCGCAGGTCCTGCGCACCCGTGCAGGGGGGGGGGGGACTGAAGGGCTTGTCAGAGAAGGGCGAAGTGGAGGAGATGGAGGAGGATGGAGGGAGAAAGGAGGGGGAGGAGGCTATGACCTGAGAGGCAGGGGTTGGAAGGGGCAGGAGGAGGAGGAGGAGGAGGAGGAGGAGGACGAGCAAGAGAGCGGGGAGGAAGAGGGGGAGGGAGGAGGGCGGAGAGGAGGGGGACGGAACGGACAGGGGAGGTGGAAGACCAGGAGGAGGCGGATGAGGATGATGACGATGACGATGTTGACGATGGTACAGTGCCGTTTTTAATACATGCTCCGCGTGCGGATCATGTATTAAAAATGCACGGATCTAGCATTAAGAACAACGACGAGTTCATGCATACATTTATTCATACATAAGTCATGTATTAAACATCCGATATTGTTGAGAATCCCATGTATTAAAAATTGCCCTGAAACGATGATGATGCTCATTTCATCGCTTCGCTCACTCCGCCGGCCCGTTTTGTGCCATCGCAGGCGTTTGCTTGCGCGTTCGTGGCCTCTTGAGGCCTCTTGGGGGCCGTTTGGGGGCCCATTGGAGCCTCTTTTTGTGCCTCTTGGGGGCCTCGTGGAGCCTCCAGGGGGCCTCCTGGACTCTCTTGGGGGCCTCTTGGGGCCTCCTGGTGGCCTCTTGGAGCGGAAGGCTCGAATTGGTGTTTCGTGTTCCCCTTCTTGGGCCCCTCTTGGGCCCGTCTTGGGGCCCTCTTGAGCGATCTTGGGCGCCTCTGGGGCCACTTTGGCGCCGTCTTGGACTGTCTGTGGGCTCTCTTGGGGGCCTCTCGGGCCGTCTTGGGCCATCGTGGAGCCATCTCGAGAGCCTCTTGGGCTGTGTTGGGGCGGTCTTGGAGGAGGCTTCTTGGGCCCTCGTTGGAGCGTCAGAAAGCCGAAAAGGCGCGAAGGCTGAAAACATCCACATTCTTCTGGAAATAATTCTGCCTCTTAGTCCGTCTGTTGGAAGCTTCGAGGGGCGTGTCAGGGGCATCGAGGGTCATCGTGAGGCCATCTTGGGCCGCCTTGGGACGCTGTTGGCTTCTGGCCGTAGGGCCTGCCACCTACTTGTCGACTCGTTGGGCCGCTCCTGGACGGTTCCAGAAGCCCACAGGCCCGCGCCGAAAAGATCCGGCATCTCTGACCAGGACTTGCCAGGCCCAGGGTACGTTCCGCTTCGGGACCCCCAGGGGCCGCCACGCGCGCGCGAACTAGAATATTGTTAACCTGTTCCCGGAGATCTTAGCACGCCTTTGGCCCCTTGGGCCGGCGAATTGTGGTGATGGTGATGTTGCTGATTATGGTGATGGTGAGGTGATGATGAGGAGACGGATGAGGAGGCGGATGATATTGATGATGAGGAGGAAGGGTAGGGAGATGAGAAAGATGGGGAGAGGGAGCAAGAGCAGGATGAGGAGGACGAGGATGAGGAGGACGATAATGATGAGAAGGAGGGGGGCGGGAGGGCCGAGGTGTAGGGCAAAGGAGGGCGAGCGAAGCAGGAAGAGGACTTCCATGGCGAGGGGGGAGCAGATAGGGCGAGGACGAGGGCGAGGATGGGGCGGGGAAGCCAGCTGGCACGAGGGTTCGGGGTACCCTTCGTGTCTTCGTGCTTTTCCTCCGCCCTGGAAGGCTCTGCGCTCGGGGCACCTGCAAGGTGCCTCTGGGCCGTCCTTGGCGAGGGGGCTCGTGCCCTTGATCCGCGTTCTGGTGGCCACGTCCCGCTGATACTGAGACGGATGAGAAGGCGCAGCGAATCAGGACAGAAAGCAAGGGCTGGCATGTTGGCCCGGTGGAGGTAAGACGGGCTTCATGTTTGGGAGATAAGCTTTTGACGAGTACAAGCAGAAATGACGGGCATTCGAAACAACGCGGTTCATACCGCGGTTTCGTAACAAGAAAAAAGCTAGGGGCTCTGAATTAGAGCTCGCAGGAGGAGGGAGGGGGTCGGCGGGACGAGCAGAATATCCTGCGCCAGCCTCCCCCCCCGAAGCAGGAGCGGGCCGAGCTCCTGGCGCAGAGGGAGCGGGCGATCCTCCAGCGCGAGAGGGAGCTCGAGGAGAGGGAGGGGCGGCTTGAGAGGTGTCAGCGCCCACGCCCTCGCCTGGACCTCCGCCTCCTCCCCCCCTCCCCTCTGCTGCTGCGCCTCCTCCTCTCCTCCTCCTCCTCCTCCTCCTCCTCCTCCTCTTCCTCCTCCTCCTCCTCCTCCTCCTCCTCCTCCTCTCCTCCTCCTCTCCCTCCTCCTCCTCCTCCTCCTCCTCCTCCTCCTCCTCCTCCTCCTCCTCCTCCTCCTCCTCCTCCTCCTCCTCCTCCTCCTCCTCCTCCTCCTCCTCCTCCTCCTCCTCCTCCTCCTCCTCCTCCTCCTCCTCTCCTCCTCCTCCTCCTCCTCCTCCTCCTCCTCCTCCCTCCTCCTGCCGACGCTCCGTCCCCTCCTCCCATGGGGATGCGGTCGGGACTTCCGGCGGGACCGCGCGCCGCCCCGCCGGGCCCTTGCCCTGCCGCGCCTCGGGGCGACGCGCTGCCCGCGCCGCGGCCTCGCGAGGCGTCCGCGCGGGGCTTCCCGCCCCCGCGGAGCGGAGGAGGAGGAGGAGGAGGAGGAGGAGGAGGAGGAGGAGGAGGAGGAGGAAGAGGAGGAGGAGGAGGAGGGGGAGGAGGAGGGGGAGGAGGACGAGGAGGAGGGGGAGGAGGAGGAGGAGGGGGAGGAGGAGGAGGAGGAGGAGGAGGAGGAGGAGGAGGAGGAGGAGGAGGAGTGTGTCTTCTTCGTTCCCTCCTCGACGTGCCCAGCCCCCCTCGAGCTAGGACAAAATCGCGACGGGAGGTTTTTCATGATTTTTGGCCTTTGGGGGCCCTTGCCGGCCCTCGGGACCGTCAAAAAACGACGCAGGACGAAAAACCGGTCCCGGGGAAGGGGCCGAGGCCTCGGGGGGTCGACGTCATGAAAAAGTCATGACGTCGGGGGTCTGGGCACGCTGTCCACTCGCAAGGCAGTGCGTGTCGCCGGGGCCGCCGGGGCTACACTTTGTTGGTCTGCGGGGCGAGAGCGAGCCTCTTCCGGTTAAGAGCTAGGCGGGCTACGCACAGCTCTAATTGGGGAGACAGGGCGCGGGCGGGCGGGGCCTCAGGCGGCCGGAGGGCGGGCCGGGGTGCAGGCGGTGCCGAGGAGCTTGCACAGGAAAAGGGACCGCCTTGGACAGGAGCCGGAGGCGAAGATCCGCCGGGGCTACACGCCATACGTATCCAAAAGTTCCCCACCGCAGCCCCTCCCTGTCGCACCACCAGCGGTTCGTGGTGCGACAGGGAGGGACAGGAAGTCTCAGGTTGGCAACCTGAGATTTCCTCACCGTTTACGGCCGCGGGGCGTGCAAGTTCCAACAGCTGCGCGGACGGGCGGTAATTACATGCAATTGTAGACGCATCGCCTAACCCCACCAGCCCATCCAGAAGCTATGCCGCCCAGACAAGCTGCCCTGATCAAGGATGTGGAGCAGCACGCATTGGAATCAAGGGTTAGGTGAGACGTCATACACCAAGAGAGGAAGGATGGAGGAGGAATCGGAGGAGAAGGAGGAGGAAAAAGAGGAGGAGGAGGAGGAGAAGGGAACGGAGGGAGAGGAAGGAGATGGGGGAGGGGGAGGAGGAGGAGGGGCAGGAGGAATAAGAGGAGGAGGAGGAGGAGGGGAGGAGGAGGAGGAGGAGGGAGGAGGAGGAGGAATCGGAGGAGGAGAGAGAGAGAGGAGGAGGAGGAGGAGGAGGAGGAGGAGGAGAAGGAGGAGGGAGAGGAAGGAGATGGGGGAGGGGAGGAGGGAGGAGGAGGAGGAGAGGGAGAGATAGGCGGATGAGGAGAGGAGGAGGAGGAGGAGGAGGAGGAGGAGGAGGAGGAGGAGGAGGAGAGGAGGAAGATGAGGAGGAGGAGGAGGAAGGAGGAGGAGGGAGAGGAAGGAGATGGGGGAGGGGG